GAGATTTTCTAAAATTTCCAGGCTTTTGAGCCTTTACACATACTATTTATTCTTTCTGAAGTGTTCTTCCCCTTACTTTTACTTACTCACCTTTTGTTCATTCTCCAAAACTCACTAAAATAACTGGGTGTGGTGGCACACATCTGTAATCCAAGCAATTCGGGAGAGTGAGGTAGGATTAATGTAAATTAGAGGCCAGGCTCAGCATATTCTCAAAGGCATTTCTCTCTCTCTCTCTTTCTTTTTTCAAGGTGCTGGGGCTTGAATCTAGGGCCTTGTGCACATGAGGCAGGCACTCTACCAATTGAGCTATGTCTCCAGCCCGACATTTCTCTTTTGAATGTATTTCTCACTTGAATGTGTAACTACTCCCTTGAATGTGTAACTACTTTCCTAAATAAACATGTCAATAAAAGAAGGGGTGATATTGGTTGAATTATATTGTTATATTGAGTATTGTGTGCATGTATGGATATCTAACAACAAATCCCATCAGTATGTAGTACTATAATGCACCAAAAAAAAAAAAATGTTGGGGGAATAAAGCAAAGAGAGAGAGAGAGAGAGAGAGAGAGAAACAGAAGACCCTGCCAGGATTATCAAAGCATTTACAGCCATCTTTAATCTGTCACAATCTACTTTCTGGTCACAAATTATTTACATTCTTCTCACCATGCAAAGTATGCTCACATCTTCAAAGGACTCAGCAAAACTCAGCTCACTACATCAGACTGAGGATCAAGGTCTGTGATCTCTTCAAATGCTAGGTGTGGTTGTGGGCTTCAGACACAGCTCACAGAGTTTAGTTTTTGAGTATCCTTTCAGCCTAAACACCTGTAAACTAAAAAAAAGTAAGTTGCCCCTCTTTACACACACAACTACAAATGGTGAGATAGGTATAAGAAAACTGCAACAGACATTCTTTTTTGAGAGGATTGTGGGGCCAAGCATAGTGGCACATGCCTGTAATCCCAGCTATAGGGAAGCTGAGGCAGGGGGTGCCAAGGCCAATGTCTTGGCTTGGCACCAGAATCACGAGCCACCACACAGCTTTGTAGGTTCAAACAGCAATTCTTTATTCCCGCTCTCACACCGCCTCCACACAGGTCCAGGGACAATCGCATCGTTCTGCCGTCTCCCGCACAATTCACCTACTCCACGAGGCTATCTCCAAATCCCATTTTAATCTCACGAGAACTCAACAGGAACAAGCAGCAGGAACACCCTAATCCCAGCAATAATCTTCAACTTCCAACTTCCCTAAAACCCATTATCTTATACTGGCAACGCCTTAAACTCAAGGAGCCGGTTACTTCCTCAAACCTGATCAGCTCTAAACCTGGATCCGCCTTGGTCCTTGAGCAAGGTCACCTTATTAAAGCATGCATGCAATGTCCCATCGAATGTCCTCTAAGCAGCATGGGGTATGCTTGGCAAGGAAATTTCGATGCGTCATTCCTACTTGGTAATGGCCCTCAGCAAGGGGGATTGCAAGTTCCATGCTAGCCTTGGCTACTTAGCAAGACCCTATATCAAAATAAAAAGAGTTGGAGATATGGTTCTGCAGTAAAGTGACACTGGGTTCAAACCCAGATACCAAAAAAAAAAAAAAAAAAAGAAAAAAAATGAAACCTAGCTACCTAGAAATGATTCTCTGCCCTCTGTCATCATTTCTTTTCCATAAGAAACAGCCCATTTTTGAAACTGAGTATTTTTTTAATGCAGTGTTGAGGATTGAACCCAGGACCTTAATACATGTTATGCAAGTGCTGTACCACTGAACCACATCCCTATCCCAAAATCAATCTCTCCTTCCCTTCCCTTCCCTTCCCTTCCCTTCCCTTTCCTGTCCTTTCTCCTCTTCCCTTCCTTCCAAGACAAGAGCTTTTTATGTTGCCAAGGCTAGTCTCCAACTCCTGGGCTCAAGCAATCCTCCTACCCCACCCAGTGCCTGGACTACCGATGTTTACCACTGTTCTTGGCTTATAGCTTACTACTTTCCTCAGTCTGCTTTCTGCCCTTAGTAGGTCGAGATCCAGAGACCTTTTATTGAATTGTACTGTCTGTGAATTAGCTGAGCTAATGTAACTTTTTAAATTTTGGAGGGTAAAATAAAAAGCAAAATAAAATAAAATTTAGAGAGTTTTCTATGTCTCAAATTATACTCCACTCCATTAGGGGAAAAAAAAAAAAACACACCTTTTCAGATAACCTTGTAGATGGGCCCCATACGCAGCTGATGTAAAACCACATCCATAAGGCTAAAAAACCCTGTTGTTGATCAGGGAGAGACTGTAAGGCATATAATTAAGATCCTTAGAATTTTTCCTTTAGAAATGAATTTGAAAGCATCTGAAAATTTCTGAGATTTTAAAAGGTTTTGCAGTCACACCCTTGACTTATCTTTACCCTGTGATCTCATTTTACTGGCAACTCTATGGATTTGATATTTACCATTTCTTCCTTTGAGATCTTACAGAGACTAGAAATACTACCTTGAGTCCTTCTATCATATTTTTGGATAGACAACTAGAAATAGTCAGTTGATACTCTGCACTTTCTATGTGGAAACTCCCCAACCATATGCACATGGTCATTAAGTATCTTTCTACTTTGCATGTTACCAAAATCAACAGTGTTGTCAAACTTGTCTCCAGCTTCCCATAACAATTCCTTGGTGGCAAACACAAGAGATTAACGATCTCTTCCAGGGTTTTCCAGCTTTCACTAAAAGGCTCCTCAAGATCTTGAAGGTAGAGACCCATTGGCCAGTCCCAAAGTAACTGGTACATGTTTTGGGGTTTTGTTTTTGTTTTGTTTGTTTTTGCTATAGAAACACTCTATTTGCAGGTATAAAATTCTGTTATGTTTATCGGTTAATGATGTAGCAAACTATCTATCCAAAATTTAGTTGCTCAAAAAATTCATTATTTCTCTCAATTTTGTGAGCCAATATTCAGGGTAAAACTTGGATGCTAATTAGGGGGTCAACCAAGCAAGATCAGTTGATGATATTCAGCTGGCAGGCAGTCAGGTCTGGAGGATCCAAGACAGCTTTATTCATGTGACTGACACATTGTTAAGAAAAACTGGAAGGCTAGGCTCAGAACCTTTTTCACTGCATATAGTATTGAAGACTCCATGAGGTCTCTCCAGAGGGGTGTCATATATCTTACATGACACCTGGGGACTCCATGAGGCAGTGTTCCAAGCATAGGAAGTCAAAGCTTCCAATTTTTTAAGGTGTAGCTTTGTAATGGGCATAGTGTCATTCCTGCCATATTTTATTAGTGGAAGCAGTCACAGAGTAGGCTTAGATTCAGGGGGAAGGGCTAGCTGGTAGAACTATCAAACTAATAATGTCAGTAGGTAGGTTCACAGTTAATACAAGATGGTAATAGAATATTGTAGTAAAAGGGACTAGACTGGCTAAGAGTATTAGGGTGGGCTTCTCAGAGAACTGCTCATAGAGCTGAGTTTTGAAAAATGAAGAAAATTTGCTAACAGAAAAGAGTGAAAGAGGGGCTGGGGATGTGGCTCAGTCATACAGCACTTGCCTAACATGTCCAAGGCCCTGAGTTCAATCCCCAGCACCACACTGCAAAAAAATAAAATGAAAAGGGTTGGGAATGTAGATGTAGCTTAGTGGTAAACTTCCTCACTACCCCCGCCTCAAGTTCAATCCCCAGTACCATTTTAAAAAAGGAAAAAAAAAATGAAAGACTTTCCATTCATGAACCAAGGAGAGGAACTGTAAGAGAATGTACATAGTATGTTTGCGAAACATTGAGGTGTTGATGTGATTGGTGAAGAAGGTGGTGAGGGGTACAAAGTGCTTATTTTATTTTTATTTTTTTTCTGAATCAATCAGAGGGATAGGGAGAAAATGATTGGGTACTTCATTTCAACATAGTGTTTTTATTTTGTTTTATTTTATTATTAGAGCTTATGGTTATACATAGTAGTTAGTTTCATCCTGAGACTCCTACTGTTGCCAAAAGCTCATCCTTGTCCAGATGCCAATCCAATAATGAGGACACTGGTTTGAGAAAACGAAAAAAAAAAAAAAAAAACAAACAAAGTTCATTGCTTTGCTAGCAAAGGAGAAACACGGAGACTCCCATCCCAAAGGCTGTGATTCTGCCCATCATGTGGAACAGGGGATTTTTTTAAAAGAGGTGATTTAGAGAAAGTGAGATTAGGGAGGAGATATTAGGAAGGAGATCAGCGAAAAGAAGATCAGGGAGGAGAAGTTTAGGGAAAAGAAGATCAGGGAGGAGAAGTTTAGGGAAATGAAGATCAGGGAGGAGAAGTTTAGGGAAAAGAAGATCAGGGAAGAGAAGGTTAGGGATAAGAAGATCAGGAAGGACAAGGTTAGGGAAAAGAAGATCAAGGAGAAGAAGGTTGGGAAAAAGAAAAAAAAACATGTAAGTTTCAAAGCCACAAGGAATATAGTCAAAACATCAAGTGAACCCATTATAATACATGCATGGAAATAGATGTATGATCCCCCTTTTCCCTCCCATGCTCCCTACCTTCTCCCCTTCTCCGTCTTCTAGTCTATTAGACTTCCTTTTGCATAACTATTAATTTGTATTTGATGGGTTCTTTTTTTTTTTAAAGAGAGTGAGAGAGGAGAGGGAGAGAGGGAGAGAGAGAGAGAGATTTTTAATGTTTTATTGTTTAGTTCTCGGCGGACACAACATCTTTGTTGGTATGTGGTGCTGAGGATCGAACCCGGGCCGCAAGCATGCCAGGCGAGCGTGCTACCGCTTGAGCCACATCCCCAGCCTTGATGGGTTCTTTATGTAATCTTATCCTTCCCTCCCCCTTTCCTTTATTTTACTCTAGTTTCTAATTATGAGAGAAACCATCGGACCTTCTGGTTTCTGAGTTTGGCTAATTTCACTTAGCAAGATATTCTCATAATTTCATTCTTTTTAATGGCTGAGCAGAATGCCATTATTTGTGTGCGTATGTGTGTGTATCTCACAAGTTCTAAAAATATGCAACACTATCCAAATTTGCATGTCATCTTTGTACAGAGGCCATGCTAATCTTCTCTGTATCATTCCAATTTTAGTATATGTGCTGCTGAAGCAAGCACAACATAGTGTTTTTCCTACTGATAATTCCAAGAGTTGTGACTCCAACACTTTCCTTTCTGTTCTCCCCATTTGCAACACTTACCACCACTACAATCCAGCCCCATTTCTTCATTAAATTATGGCAGTAGGATTAGAGGAAGATAAGGTCATTTATCGTTCTATATTTACATCCAGTACATAAACTTCTGTTTTTCAATAATATGTGCAATTCCAGGTAATGGACATTGTGTGATAAACATCAATCACTGTTTTCATATTGTTCTATGAAGGCTACATGTTGAACCTGACCCTAATATTGCTGGAGTAGAGATTTAAATGTTGCAACTAAGAGGTTATTTCACCTACATTAGACTCCAACACACTAAATCAATGACCCACTTCACTACCCATGATAGGGCCTCAGCCATATTCTGTGATGCCTTTGTGAAAATTAGAACAAGGCACACCATATGGGCAAATACCATACTATGACAATTTCAATAGCTTACAGAGTAACATCTGAATTTCAACAGCCACTTGTTTCCAGAGTTGGGCACCTTTGCAACATGTACAGACCGTGCAGCTCTCTGTTTTGCCTTGTGGTTAGTGTTCCATTATAAAATTCAGAACAGAGCCTGTGGGCACAGATCAGAGAGGCTATTTTACATTTCCTCTCTCCACATTCCCCAATTCTAATGTGTTGTTATTTACTGTTCAGACAATAAGCAAACTATCCTACTTCTCTTATTTTTCTCTCTCCAAAAGTACTAAGGACTGACCTTTCCCATCTTGAAATACAGAGTCCCATTTTTCAGAAATAAGTTTTGCAAACATAATATCCTATCTGTACCTTCACAGTGATTTTTAATCCACTTTTTGTGGCATTGGGGATTGAGCCCAGTAGTACTCTACCACTGAGTTATATCCCCAGTCCTTCTTATTTTTTATGATTTCTCATGAGGCATGGTGGCCTATGACTGTAATCCCAGAAGTTCAGGAGGCTGAGACAGAAGGATTGAATGTGTGAGGCCAGATTCAGCACTTTAACAAGCCCCAAAGCAACTTAGTGAGACCCTGTCTCAAAATAAAAACTAAAAAGGCTGGGGATGTGGCTCAGTGGCAAAGTATCCCTGGGTTCAATCCCCAGCATTAAAAAAAAAAAAAAAAAGACACTAAATTGCCAAGGCTGGTCTTGAACTTGTGATCTTTGTGTCTCATCCTTCTAAGTCATTGGGATTATAGGTTTGTGTCACCACACCTGGCTCACTCTGACTAAAAAAAATAATTCTTATTGGGAATGTAACTCAGGGTTAAAGCACTTGCCTAGCATCCCCCATCTCCCCAAAACAATTATTTCATTGTACAAACAAACGATTTTGCAACAGTAATACTATGGCAAGGGCAGACATTGTTAGCAATTCTGTCCCCTATCAAATAAGCCATTTTTGGTTTTCCACATTATACTGGTGATTATTGTCTCCAAGTTCCTACATTCCATTTTCTATCAACATATATATGTCATTTTTCACTGTTTTAATGAGAGAATAAATTTCATTCTATTTTCTGTATTTACTATGTATTATACTGAAGATTATATTTCATTCATATATTGTCTAAAATATGTCCACAGTTCCTACAATGTTCTAAATTGTTTTTGTTCTTGTTTTTTTGGTACTGAGGATTGAACTCAAGGGTCCTTTACCACTAAGCCACATCCCCAGCCCTTTTTGTTTTTTATTTATAGTACTGGGAATTGAACCCAGGGGGGCTTAATCACTGAGCCACATCCCCAGCCTTTTTTTTCTTTATTTCTTCATTTATTTTTGCATTACAATTCTTAATATACCATTATACAATAATTTACCATATCTCTGATTATATATAAGGTATGTTGACACCAAATTTACATCTCCATACATGTATTTTGTATAATGATGAGGGTCTCCTTTCACCATCCATGCGATTCCCCTTCTTCCTTCCTTTCCCTCCCACCCATATTCCCTATCTAGAGGTAATCTTCCTCCCTTGCTCTCCCTCCCAACCCCTTTTTGAATCACCCCCCTTATATCAGAGAAGATATTTGGCATTTTTGGGGGGGGATTGACTAACTTCACTTAGCATAATCTTCTCTAATGCCATCCATTTCCCTGCAAATGCTGTGATCTTATTCTTTTTTATTGCTGAGTAATATTCCATTGTATATAAATGCCACATTTTTTTTTTGATCCATTCATCCATGGAAGGACATCTAGATTGGCTCCACAGTTTAGCTATTGTGAATTGTGCTTCTATAAACATTGATGTGGCTATGTCCCTGTAATATGCTGTTTTTAGGTCCTTTGGGTATAGTCTAAGAAGAGGAATAGCTGGGTCAAATGGTGGTTCCATTCCCAGTTTTCCAAGGAATCTCTATACTGCTTTCCAAATTGGCTGTACCAATTTGCAGTCCCACCAGCAGTGTATGAGTGTACCTTTTTCCCGCATCCTCGCCAGTACTTGTTGTTGTTTGTCTTCATAATGGCTGCCACTCTTACTAAAGTGAGATCCCCAGCCTTTTTTTATATTTATTATTTAGAGATAGGATCTTACTAAGTTGCTTAGGGCCTTGCTGAGTTGCTGAATCTGGCTTTGAACTCAATATCCTCCTGCCTCAGGCTCCCTGAGGTGCTAGAATTACAGGCTTGAGCCATAGGGCTAGGATAGACTCTATTTTAGATGTTGAAGACTCAGTAGTGAATAAGACAAGGTCCTTGCCATGTGGACTTTATTCCTGTGAAGGAGACATACAGTGAATAATTGATATATGGTAAAATGTCAAGTGCTATTAAGAAAAACAAAGCTGCTGGGGCCTATGCTGGTCTTGAAGTTGTGTTCCTCCTGCCTCAGTCTCCAGAGTCACTAGGATTGCAAACATGCACCACTGCACCAGGCATAAATTATCTTATTTTAGAAAACTTGGTTAACTAGCTAGGCATGGTCATACATGTCTGTAATCTCAGTTTCCTGAGATACTGAGGCAGAAGGATCACCTGAGCCCAGAAGTTCAGGGCCAGTCTGGGCAATAAAGAAAGATCACATCACTAAAACAAAAATAATATAGTAATTAATCTAAAAAAAAAAAAGAGAGAGAAAGAGAAAGAAAACTTGGGTAAAAGTCCTTTGTGAGTTTGTCTGGCACCACAGTAACTTTCTGTAGGTAGTTGCTGGTAACTTCTTGGTGGTTATACATGAGCTAAGCCAATAGTCAAAGGAGAACCGTAAATATTCATCTGGAGAGGAGCTGAGTTGTTGTTATCCTGGCTTGGCAGCCTCCTGGGATTAGGAGGTTTCCAATATTCATTAGAAAAACTAAAAAATGTATGAGTCTTCTCTCCTTAGGGTGTGGTTAAATGAAGACTTGTGGAATTCAAAACTGGAGCAATGGAGCAGTTTGGGAGTCTGGCATTCCAAATATGTTGCCAGCTTGGGTGAGAACCTCATGGGTGGCATCATGGGAGAGCCTACATGTGTGTGTGTGTGTGTGTGTGTGTGTGCGTGTGTGTGTGTGTGTATATATACACTTTTCTTTTTGAGATTTAACTCAGGGGCACTTTACCATTGAGGTACATCCCCAGTCCTTTTTTTAAAAAAATTTGAGACAGGGTTTCACTAAGTTATGGAGGATCTCACTAATTTGCTGAGAGTAGTCTTGAATTTGATATTGTCCTGCTTTAGCCTCCCATGTTGCTAGAGTTACAGGCATACCGTGCCCAGCTACTTTACAAACTTTTATTTTAAAAATCTCCTTCAGAATAAAGTTTCAGAAAGAGGACTAGAGGCACTTTTAGATTGTAATTTGGTGGGGGGGGTGTATTGAACACAAAGGTACTCTACCACTGAGTTACATTCCCAATTCCCAATTTTATTTTATTTTGACAGAGTCACCACTAAGTTGTCCAGGCTGGCCTTGGGATCTTCCTGCCTCAGCATCCTGAGTAGCTGGGACTATAGGCATGTTGCACCACAATTGCCTAGCTCCTGATTTTTGTTGAACTCTTATAGTTGCCATAATTCATTTTTAAAAATATTTATTTTTAGTTGTAGTTGGACACAATACCTTTGTTTTATTTATTTGTTTTTATGTGGTGCTGAGGATTGAACCCAGGGCCTTGCTGGCGCTCGGAGAGCGCTCTACTGCTGAGCCATAACCCCTGCCCACAAAAATTCATTATTTTTGGAGGACTAAACGCTGCTAAGGATCTAAGCATGTTTTATTGGCAGTGTCACAGAATGTCATGACATTTCTTTCTACTATACCTTCCTCCAGCTCTCTCCTTCCCCACATCATCTATCTGCAGTCCTCCCTGGATACTCCTACCCATCCTATAAAATCCAAGTGTCACCTCTTCCAAGAATTTTTAACCACATTGATCAGTGTTGCTCAAATTTTAATATGTTTATAAGTCAGCCAAGTATCATGGTAAAAGATACATTCTCATTTAATCAATCTCAGATCTGTTTAAAGGTTTTGCATTTTTTTTTTTTTAAACTAGAGATTGGACCCAGGGGCATTTAACCGCTGAGCCATATCCCATCCTTTTTTATATTTTAGCACCTTGCTAACTTGTTGAGACTAGCTTTGAACTTCTAATCCTCATGCCTCAGCCTCAGGAGCTACTGGGATTAAAGGTGTGTGCCACCATGCCTGGCAACAGAGTTTTGCTACATTGCTTAGGGCCTAGCTAAATTGATGAGGGTAATCTGGAACTTGCAGTCCTCCTGCTTCAGCTTCCTCAGTTGCTGAGATTAAAGGTGTGGGCCACTTTACCACACCTAAGATTTTGCATTTCTAACTAACTCACCAGTGATTCAGATAGTGCTGATTCATGGACCATGCAATTGAGAAAGAAGGCCTTAAACAGGGATTCTCAAACTTTAATCTTCAGATTGAAGGCCCCAAAAAGTTTTTGTTTATATGAACTATGTCTATCAATATTTATAATGTTAGAAACTAATGTTAAGAAATATCATAAGCAGGGCT